GGATTGCAAACAGAGAGCAGAGAGGGCAGTTTTTAATCTTGTATAATGACTTCAGAGAACATTGCGATAATCCACCTAACCAACCGCTCAGTGTCTGCAACCCTCCTCTGCCGATCCCTGCACTAGCTTCCAATAGCCCAAAAGATAAAATTAAAAATATTAACAACGACTTACAAAGCCATCCACAACTCTGCCCCCGGATATAAACCATAACTACCAATGAAAAAATGGGGCTTTCAAGGTGACTCGTGAATAATGCAAGGAGATACAGCTAGACATAATACTACGTAACTCATTTTCATATAGTAAAATTCATATTTAATAAGGTAATTTCATGATTAGCAAGAATTGTATATAAAACCATATAACACTCATCTAAAAACAGGACCATAATACATATAAACGGCATGTCACCTCTTGGGAACCTGTACAGATTTATATTGTGCATAATAGCAATAATTTATATTCTTAGCATTGATTGCATTACAACAATGTCAATAATTAATTAGATCAGTCAACATATTGTTAAATATTTCCATATTATTACATATTCCATCCAAAAATCTGTACTTTTCCATTCTTCTACGTGTTTCGCCGTAGCTTCGTCAGGAAGTTTTATAGGAGGTGGCCTGTAGTATCTATATGAATGTTATAGTGAGCATTCAAGTAATTAGAAATGACAACTAACCATACATAACAATTACTTACATAGATCAATGAATAATGCAATAAATATATAATACCATATATACCATATATAAGATTTCTGATGACGAGCAGATTCGCATCTAGTGGAGCCAGGAGAAGAAGAGAGGCAGGGTTAGCTCGTGGGCTGTAGGGAAGGGGAAGTTCCTATGCCTGTCCTTTCTCGACATACAAAATTAAACTATAGACCAATACTCTCCTAGGTATACCTTCATATGCATACAGGATTACACATCTAACCCAACAAAACAAAATGAAATAGCTCTCTGAGCCTTGCTAAGTCAGTGAGCATACAAAACAGATCTAAGGTTCGATACAATTAGCCTTAACAATTGATACTTCAGTATCCATAACAGTATCCAAGTAAGTCAATGTATCTTATCTAAATTCAATCTATGTCACTTCCATCCCAGATCATCCATTAGTCCGGACAATCCTTTTCTCTCAATAATAGTCTAAGTATAGAGTCTCTACCATCCTATGGAACTCTCTACCCCAACCTGTCCGCCTATCTCCCGCCTTTAGGCGATCCGGTAAGAGTCATCTCTTCAGGAACGCCTATCCCACCTCAAACTAACCACTCATCATGTCCTCATACAATTCATCCCCACACACATTTTTCAGTGTTCAGCGCTGCGGTACTTTGACTGACATTTATTCAGTCATGCAACACTGTACTGAAATACATTTTATACCATTTTTTGGAGACACATAGAACATTTTTTGGTGGTATTTAGTCACCAATGGAGGTTTTTTATTTTTGAACTATATTAAGGAAAAATTACCCCAAATTTTGAAAACAAAAGTGTTCCCCCTACATTATGTTATGAAACATTTATTACTAACCAATATTTTGTTAAAATATAAAAGACAGGGTCACGTCGGGTAAATAGACACCAAACATGTCGAGCTTTAAAATTGCACGCACCCGCGAAGCTACTAAAACTACTATACCCAAATTTGCCTATAGGTGACAGTTTAAAAGCTTTTACTGCTAATCAGTTTAGTGTTATCAGTGATAGATGGCCCTAGAATTATTAGTCAAACTCTGACGTTCTCAATAATATGTAACATGTGCGGCACAATTGCCGTTTTTGCATGTAGGCCTACCCAATGCATGTTTACGTTTGTGTGTGCATATACGTGGGGGCGGGGGACTTAAAACATTTTTTTTTTCACATTTTTTTTTAATATGTGACTTTATTTTTATTTTTTTTTAGCCTTAATATTATTGCTGTCACATAGAAGGCTAACAATCCCCCTATGTGATAGCACAGGCATACTGACAGGTCCTCTTTATGGAGACATTAGGGGTCTGCAAGACCCCTAATGTCACATGTCACCTGGGGATCCCCAAAGAAGCTGATGTAGCAGAGATATGCTTCATCAGCTTCTTCTCTGGCTACAGCAGCCAGAGAAAAGACAGCTGAATGCGGATGTGATGTAATGCACACAACTTTCGCATTCAGAGATCAGAGGAGAGTTCAGCAAGTGGGAGAGTGCTGATCTCCCTCTGATCCTAACGCAGAGAGCCGCCAAGCTGGTCCCGCAGAGGGGAAAGCGTAGCCCAGGATAGCCGGTAACAGTGGTGAAGGGGGTAAGCGGCGCTGCAAAAGAGGGGTGGGGCGCACACTGCTGGGCTCCATACAAGCGATCGGATGGCTATAGAGCTGCTGGACACTTGATTATATAACAGCCGTTAATGGCTGTTTACACCTGTCAATGGGTTCTGCTCCTGCGGACGCTAGGGGCAGGGCCGGCCTTAGGGGTGTGCGAGCCGTGCGGCCGCACAGGGCGCCATGGCAACAAGGGCGCCGTGCGGCCGTCACAGCTCGTCCTAGCACACACGAGCAGAAAAAAAAAGCCGTATATTTACAGCCCCCCCACAACAGGCGTATGGCAAGCGTATTGCCATTAACTAGGCAGATATTTTACAGAGAGAAAGCAACACTATATTTGGTTTCCTTTTGGGATAAAGCTGATCATTGTAGGCACCCCTGTCAGTGTTAAATAGTTTTTTTTTTCAATTCTCTAACTGCCACTTTTGCCAGACAGCTTTGCTTGTTAAAGGAAGCTGAAAAATAACAGATTTTTGAATTTATAAATGAATTGTAAAAGCACATCATGATCAGTGTGTACAGTGTCCACATGTCTGTAAGAAAGATAAAAGAGAGCTGGAGAGGATTTAAAAACTGGCACGTCTATAAAAAAGGGATATCACTAATATAATAAAACGGTCAGAAATATTAGGCTAGCTTACTTTGCTGTCTCTATTAATATGTATAAGTAGATTCAAGGTTAATGTAATCATTTATTAAAGTAACAAGACAAGAACTGTACAAAGGACAAGGGGACGTGATATGAATGAAGGACAGTTTTACCATCAGCTTTTTAATGGCAAAAGTGTTTCCTCTGCAGGCAGTATAACTGGGATTTACCTTCATAAAAGCATTTTGTCAGAGGCTCCAGGGACAGTTCCAATTGTATAATTTTTTTTTCAAGCCTAACTCGGGACATTTGTGTGTTTATTTATTACAGATATTTATATAGCGCCGACAATTTACGCAGAGCTTTTCATAGTGCACATTCACATCAGTCCCTGCCCTTAAAAGGAGAACTATGGGGTTAAGGCTTTTCCCCATAGTTCTCCTTAGGGTAACGGGAGGACACAAACTAGCGTCCTCCCGTCACCCTAGGCTCAGTATACTGAGACGCCGCAGCTGAAGCGGATCCTGACAATTATGCCGGGATCTGCCCAACTGCGTGACTGACATCCGGCTCTGCCTATCTAGAGGCATAGCCAGCTGTACCCGCCCCCTCCCCGTCCGTTCCGCCAGTCAGCGCTGGCGGATCGGAGCGGGGCGGGGGGAATCCAGCTGAGAGCCGTGACAGGATCGAGAGGTGATCGAACGCCGGTATGTGTTCGCTCACCTCCCGATCTACTGAGCCGACCTGTGACAGTCTCATTGTCACAGGTCAGCTAGAACTATGAGGTGAGTGCTTTTCACTCACCTCATAGTTCTAGCCGACCTGTGACAAAGAAGATGTCACAGTTTGCCGCTATTGATCGGGCTGTGAGCAGAAACATGCTGCAGATCGATTCCCGATCGTCTCCCTGCAGTGAACGGTAACTGCCAGTCAACGCTCCCCGCAGGGATTCCCCCTCCCCTCTCCGATCCTTTAGCCCTAATTGGAGGAACAAACGGGGGAGGGGCGGGCACAGCTGGCTCTGCCTCTAGATGGGCAGAGCCAGCTGTCACTCACGCAGCTGTGTGGATCTCAACAGTATTGTTGAGATCTGTCCTGGCTGCGGCGCTCTCATTATGGCCCACGATATACTGAGCTTTGGGTCACGGGAGGAGGTTAGTATATATCCTCCCATGACCCTAAAGAGAACTATGGGGAAAAACACTTACCCCATAGTTCTCTTTTAAGGAGCTTACAATCTAAGGTCTCTGTCTCACATGCATACATACAGGGCTGATTTAGACATGAATCAAAAAACCTCTTGGCATGTCTTTGGAGTGAGAAAGTACCCAGAGGAAACCCACGCAAGCCCTGGGAGAACCCCTTGCAGATAGTGTCCTGATTTGAACCGGGGACCCCCAGTGCTGCGAGGCAGGAGTGCTAACCATTATGCCACTGTGACTAAAAAAAAATATCAGTGCCCCGCACTCCCCCTTCTCAGCTGATGCGAAAATGATTGTTTTACTACAGGATACTTTAAAACAAATGGAATACTTACCTTACCTTTAAAACAAATGGAATACTTACAGTTCCTCAGTCTTTCCTCCCACCAGTTTTGATTGTGACGAAATACCAGTATCTGACCGTTTTTGATGCCACCCCTATTGCCGGTATCATTACGTACAGTGCAGGACCAGTGGCTGCTGCTAGTCCTGCACTGTACGTAATGGGGTTAGAGTGCGACCCGCTTTCCAGCATTGGGAAGAGGAGAAATGGGCTGCTGCAGGCCCGTGAGTTAAGGTAAGTACTGATATTTATTTTATGTATGCCCAGAATTTTGCTTAAAGTGAAAGAAAACAACACTATCTTACATATAAGTATGTGAAGAAAACTAGTTATAGATGTCACACTGTAATGTTGATGCAACATGCTCTATAATAATAATACATACCTGAAATTGTATGGTGTAATCCAATAATGTGGTGTACACCGGTTGTCATACATACTCTATTTTGCAAGGATTGGCAGTAATTAGTTTACATACTGATTAAAATAAAGGTTAAATATCTAATCATAATCTGAAATGTGAACTGTCTGTGTTTGTGCAGATGACTCTGGGGATGAGGAACCAAGCTCACAGTCTGACAAGAGTGAGTTGCATAGCTCCCTAAAAGCTCTGACCAGTAAGCTGGATGACCTCAGCACATGCAATGACCTCATCGCTAAGCATGGAGCCGCCCTCCAGCGCTCCTTGAGTGAGCTGGAGAACCTTAAACTACCAGCAGAGAGCAGCGAGAAGATCAAATCCGTGAATGAAAGGGCCACTCTCTTCAGGATCACTTCCAATGCAATGATCAATGTGAGTTCTTTACCAGCAATTTGTCAGTTTTACCTAATTACAAATGTCTTACAGTGCTCCGGTAATATAACAGTGGAGTAAGGTATTATTTTACAATCTTCAACAAAATAAGTCACTATAGTTTCCTTTTAAGAATAATAACACGTTGTTGAATGAGGCCGATTATCTCCCAGCAGTTCAGCAATGAAATTGGTTGCATGACTTATACATCCGAATAAAATCCACTGCAAACAAGTTAGTACTTAAAGTGACATAAAAGGCACTCCCCCAACGTTAATTAAAGCACTTACCTTAAATTATGTCTCTTAATCCGATCTTCTTTCCTGATGTTTTCAGCCTCCTCTTCGGCTTGCTGGCACTTCCTGTCCCACGGTGTCTGCATGCGGGTGCACGCGTCCATAGACTTACCTTGCGTCCCTCCTCGTGTCCCAGCCGAAAATGTGAACTGCGTGCGCCCCAAGATCCCTTGCGGCCGCCCGAGAATTTTCACATTTTCGGACAGGAGCGCGCGGGGAAGACACAGGTAAGTTTAAACCACTGTTAAAGCGTTTTTTTTCGGTTTTTTTAAACTTTTTGCATATAGCTACTGCTTGCTAGCAGTAGATATATGATGTTTTAGAAACCCTTTAATTAATCATTTAGCTCCTCTACTTATAGAGATATTTGTATTTTCCTGTGAACATTTGAAAGGTTTTCTTCTCTTTTTATTTTCACTGACCATGCAATGTTTAAATATACTTGGAAATAATAGTTATTCTAATATAATTTTCACTGTTATCCAATAAAGTGCACCATTAGTTTTATATCTGGAATGGGACATTATCTGCCATCTCTAAGAAAAAGTCTGAGGGATCAGTTATTACATTCAGTATTGTCCAAGCCAACATCTTTTACCCCCCCCCTCCTACACTGCTCCCGTGTTGGCACACAATCACCACCAACTATGAACAATATTTAATATGGGCAACAATTGCTCACCCCACCACTGTGTGACTGTTTTGGGGTCTGGTGATTGGTTGCTCTGGCCCAGAGCACTGCATTTTGCACATAACCAAAAGTACCAGGATTGTTTACGGACCAGTATTGGTTTTCAGTCTGGCAGGCAGGGCTGTTCCTACAATGGTGCCTCTGGCACCATTTCACTGGGCCAGGTGGGGGGTTACAGGTACATAGCTCTTTCTGGTCACTGCATCCCAGGTTGCTAATAGCTCCGGATGGCACCCCCCCAGCTCCTGGCCACAAGTGACGTCAGTGAGCTGGGCAGGACCCCAGACAGAGCTGGAGCCAGAGGTATCGTGCACCACCAGCAAATATAAGCTATGATAAAGGTAAATATGGGTATCACACAGTGCCTGTAAATAACATAATTTGTGAATGATGTAGTATTCACAGGCAAAATACAAATATTTCTGGAGGTATTCAGTACTCATAATGTTAGAAATTAAGCTGATGGGAGGGGAAGATATTTTTAAGATTATTGCCAATTGCTTCTGTTAATTGTGTACAAAACAAAGTCCCATACAGTATCAGTCACCCTATTTGTACAGTAATGTTGCACAATGTGTTGCTCTATGGCTTCCTTTGGTTTATTTAGGAACTTGTGTAAAGAAAGGATGTTTGTAACTGAATTATGACAAAATTGTGATCATGTCAGGATGTTTAGTGAAAATGAGCTGAGCCATCAAAACAAAGGGGTAGTTGGGATTTACAAATGAAAAATGATTATGGTTCCTCTAATGCTATCATCCCATATGTACAAAGTAGTTGATCAGCGCTTTGCAGCATAGGTAATGTGTTTGCATTAAAGCATAGGTAAAGCAAAAACATTTTTCATACAGGATAGAGTAGGTAGGGTTCAAACTGCTGTCAGTTTTGTTTCTGCCATCCTTCACTTCCTGTCCTGGTGACGCAACATGAAGTAAGAGGATACCACACATTTCCAATGTGAGATATATCCTCTTTTACAAGGTTGCCTTGGAACAGGTGTCCCCATTGGAAGATGCATCTTCTGTTCCTGTTCTGGTGGCAATTCAATAGTTTGCATTTCACCTCGTTTTTGTTCCCGGTGACATTGGTGATTGGGGAAAATTAGAGAGAGCGAATCTCCCTAACGGCCAAACAGACTACAATAAAAAACCTGAAAGAGGATCTAACTCCTCACTACTCTATTCAAATCTTAAAAACGTCTTTAGTTATGCTTTATAGTGAAGCTATTGAAAACATTTAAAAGGGATAGTTTACAACTAAACTGCAGAAACCTTCCCTGCGACCTGCTAAGTATCTCCCTGCACACACCTTCAGCAGACAGAAGAGATCTTTGGCAGGCTGCAGGGAAGGTGCCCGCGGCTGTATATAACACCTTTGTCAACTAAGTCTCCCTTTTTTCTTCCCCTCCCTCTTGGGCAATCTTTCCACCACTCTGTTTGCTAGACTGCATTTCTATTGGATCCTCTGCAGGCCTATATTTTGCAGAAGAGCAAAAAGAAATGCAGTGAGAAAAAGCCAGCCAACAGAGAAAGATGAAGGTGTGTACTCTGCAGCCAGGGCATGGAAGGACAGATTACTGCTTAAAGTTAAGTAAAGCTGTTTCTGTTGCTGCAAGTCCTGCTTTACAAAGCACCCCTTCTTTTTCCAACCAGAAATAGAAGACGAATTAACTAATTACTGTCATTGAATGGTAACTATTAGCTGCTGGTCAGTAAATATCTATCTCATCCGCTCTGCTAGTCTGGTCCTAGTACTTGTCCCAACCTAGTGACGCTGCGTCTGTGTTGCAGTGGCTGTCAGTCAGCTGTTTCACACTGCATTTTCTCTACATGTTGGCTCCAAAGCTGCTTCCTATGCTGAGCATCCAACTTCTCAATGCAGGAAATCACTATTTGTTGTGGCACAGTTTTATGGAATCAAAGATGCCAGCACCCAGGGAGGAAGGAATGGAAAGTGTTCTAGCTTTTGTTGTCAAACAAATGGTTGCATACGAGTCCTTCTTTAATCTATGGTATTATTACATTTGTTGAATGTCTGGTTCCTTTTAAGGAGCCATCTGACTAAAGCAGCCGGTTTTAGTTTACTTTAGCCAGAAGAAAAAAATTACGGTAGATGAAATCCGATTGGATGTTGCACTTTTGTTGCACTACTTAAATGAGAACTATGGAGTGAGTGAATCATCCCCCATCACTCCTGCATTGTAGTGTGAACAGTTGTTTTCAATGTGTCCTAGTGGTGACCTGCGTTGATCCGGTGCAGTAAAATGCAGGTCACTGATTTTATGTGTGAACGGGTCCTAAACCTTATTTGCCACATACAGTGGATGCCCAAATAAGCAGTGCATTCAGGTCTGCATGTAAATTAGAGACATTCTAAGAACTTTATTCCACTACAACTTTATTCCACACTAACAACCGCAGACCATTCAGAGTATGAATCATTGATCACTGCTGTCTGAATACAGTCTTTATTCCAGTTTTTTATCCAATTACAGACTGGATATGCTAAGCCTTTCTTGACAAATTTAATTTTTAATTTTGCTTAACTCTCTTTTTATGTGCAAAAAAATCTTATCGGGATTATCTTCCAAAGATGTTACAAAAAAACTTGGATTTAAAATCTCTGTTGCTAATCTTATTCTATCAGTTAATTAAACGTTTTTTACAACACTCTTTACAGTATGAATTGCAGCATTCAGGCATATAAAAATGTATCACCAGATTGATAATCTTTATGCAAAGGCCAACTATAAACTTTTTAAAGGAAGCTTGTCATGTGAGGAACATTGAAGTTGCTTATTCTAGTTCTCTGGTTATGCTAAGCCTCTTGCTTCAATCAGTCACTGACCCAAAGCAAGTATGCAGATAACACATTCTGACATTCCTGATCTGCATAAGTCTTTAGGTTCATTTTTTCAGAAGGCATGAAGGCAGTCTATCAAAATAAAAGCCAGGGTCTGAACGTGCAAATTGTGGCCGTCAGTGACTAGTCAATGTAATACATACACAGTATACTGCTAGCAAGCATTAGATATATGCAAAAACATTTTTAAAAATGTAAAAGTTACCATTTAAGTAAAAACTTACCTGTGTCTGCACTGCTCACTCTCGGCTGTAGAATCCGCTAGAGCGGCAGGAGGATGTGTGCGGGAGCATGCGCAGTCCATATCACCGGAGGGGAGAGGAGGAGAGCAACAGTGAAAGTCAATGCATGCAGCCAGGAGCGTGCACGTCGTACAGAGTCCATGGGACAGGAGGAAACAGCACTGGCGGGACTGCTGAAAACTACTGGAAGGAAGATGCTTTGCTGTGTGTGTTCAGGTGCGTCCCGAGGCTGGGTGACACCCGGAGTGGTTACCGCGTGCCCCCCCCGCCGAGTCGTAATCGTGCACGTGCAGCGATCTTCTGATACCTGACAGCGTCCATCTTGCTGATGGACACCGGCAGAGAGAGGAGGGGACGGGATAAGGTATGCCACCGGTACATGACCAAGCGCCCAACTTTTCAGAGGGGGGGGGGGGGGGGGACAAGGGGGGGGGGGGTGACACCAAAATGGCTGTCAGTCATTTTGGTGTCACCCCTCCAATGGTGTCATCCGGGAGCGGGCCGCACCCCCCTTGTGTCACCACTGTGTGTGTTCAAGCCATTTTTTTTTCTGAAACCAGTGTACCTATGATACAATTGTTCACCCCTTTTCAGCTGTCAGATGATACTGTTATAAATGAACTCTGCTGTTCATATGTAACGAGACGTGATGATTTGTGTCCGCCTGTTGACTTAGCAGATCATATTGTTTCCAGGGACATCTATTTATTGGAAACCGAATTCTCTCTATATTTTTCCTATATTACAGAGAATGTAATTTCTGGTGAATAAAGTAAGGTGGATGTTCCCGGGTTTACCCCACACATTATATACAAGGCCCTCAAATCTCATTATTCACACTGAACATTCAATCAAACACAGCCTGACTATGCCCATCTCACTGTTCTGGGATATATTCAGGCTTGTCAT